ACGGAAAATAGTGTATAAAAAAAACGTTTGCTGAAAATAACATTTTAAGATTAAAGAATAGATGTAGAACAGTTCATTTTATCAGAAAACAGTTTTTACTTGATTTTTTGTGAATTATGTAAACTAAAAGCCTAACCTTTTTTTTTGCCTTTTTCATGACATCATATATATATATATTGCTTCTGTTAGTGTAATTTGTTAATCCTTTTCTGAGAACCCAGTCTTGGCACATTTACTGGTGGATTTGCTTAGAAAAACGAATTGACTAAACAAGATAGAAAAGAACATTTAGAATTTTGCAGCTTATAAAACAACAGTTCAGATAGTTTATTTTAGTTGTTTTCTTGGATTTCTGACTAATAATAAATAGCTTTGTGTAGAACCAGTAAAATGTTTGGGAAAAAAAAAAATATATATATATACACATTATGTATGGTTATTGATTATCAAAGGATATTATTTGAGTTACAGCTGCATGTGTGTATTGCATAATTTCTTAATTATTATTCTTACCTTGAAATGTAAACACCCTTACAATTCGGTCTGAACTTACCCTTGTTTATTTCTATAAGCGTGAAATAATTATATAAGCGAGCATATTCGTATCCCTCCAGTTTGACTTGATAAAAAAATAAACAAACATCAAGCCTAAACAGATTGGGAAGAACACCATTACAACAAAGAAAATTGATAAACAAGAAACCTCAGTTAACTTTATTACTCAGATGATACACACCAAGTTAGGTAAAAGTGAAAATACGAAAAATAAACATCAAGCACAATGATTACAGGTGGTGCCCTGACCCAGAACTCTTGCCAAGTGTGGGTGTTGTAGAAAGTTAAGTCTGAACATGCTGCTTACTGGCTGTGCATTAAATCATCTGAATTAAATGAAGGCCATGCATTTTATATGCTTTACTCTGTGCTTATCAGTATCACCAGTGGTGAGAAAGTGACTACAGAAATTAAATCATTTCAATTTTTCTGCTGAGATTTCCCCTATTTTACATCATTTAAGGTTGCAATCTCTGCTTTTTGAAGTCATTGACATTAACAATATACAGTCATGATTTTGTTTGACCAAAATGTGTATGTAAACTTTTTAGAGGAGGTACGATGTGCTAGAATCACAGGATGACATTCCTGAATGAATGATAATGCATATCAATATAAATATTGTAGGTAACATCATGTTGCATAAAAATTGCCTTTGATCTAATAGTTTAAATTTTCAATATATTTATAATTAATTCATCCAAGTTATAGTAAATCACAACTTATGTACAAAGTTGTCTGTAACTATACACTTTCTTTACTACTTTTCTTTTTTTCTAAATGTAAATCACATTTTTCTGCTGAGAAACATTCACATCAAATGTCAGTATGGTGTATGTATTCAGGTGCAACTAATAGTTGATACAAGTTCAAATTGCTTAATGTGAAAGTTAGTTGAGGTCTATAAGTTATGATAATTTGTTAAAACCATTCTCTACAGATAGCAAAAGTTGAACAAAACTAAGTTAAACGAAGAAAAGGACACACAAAACTGTAAGGGAGTTTCTCGAAAAAGTTTCCATGGTGGCTCAGATGAACAGAACTTTTCCCAGACTTGCATGTTCCCATTTGAGCAAGAATATTATTGAAATCATAATTTTAAAATTTGTTCCATGAGTGTATCATCACTTTAAAACATTTTCATTAAGTGTATTGTCACTTTATACAATTTTTTCATTGAGTGTTCATTCTGAATAGCAAAACAATCACTGTGTCTTGTATCCTGTGCATATCTGTTGTTCATACTACTAAGATTTCTCGTGTCACACAAGCCATGTGTCAAATTCCTATCGGATATGATTAAGAGTTATCCCAGAACTTGAATTCATATAAATACCAAGATGCACAAACTGAAAAAGAGTTAATTGTAATAGTGAATTACACATATTTCATTAACAGCTGAAGAATGTATCCTATGTACACTACATGTTCAGTACACTTGAAGTTTCAGTCTGGGCTAAATATTATTACCAAGTTGGGAGTTATGTTTTTCGTTTGGATAACTAAAATGCCTCTCTTCCAGAGAATTTAAGATCCCTTCCAAACAGTGGGCAAGCCAGACAATTTCATTCATGACAAAAGTGAATTTGAAGTACTGATGTTAGGAACAAGACTATTAGTTGTTCCATAACTAAAATCAGACAAGTTGCTAACATTCAAAAGTAACCAGAAAAACATCCTTTATTGAGCACAATGGCAACTAAAATAGCACCTTGTTTGTTTCTGTGATTATTATAAACACTGTGGAAAAAAGAAAAGTCGGTGGCTAAGGTTTATGTACAGTTAACATGAAACTGAATGAAGAAACTGGTAAAGGATATTTTTTTTAGTTTCCTAATCTGTATTGTTCAGAATAAAACGTGATGCTCAACTGTATATTGTAATGCTTCATAAAGGATGATTGCTTTTGTTGTCATCAGTTGTGTAGGAGGGTCTTTCATAAACTCATTCACACATATATATTGTTTATGGATATTCATTCCAGAAGCATCTCCTAGCTGGGCTGTTACTCCACTCAGAATCTTTAAGATTTGTTTTGTTGAATATGTTATCAGAAACTGAATTTTAGCAGGAAGAGGAAGTCGTTTTAGTTACGTGCATCACTTACAGGTGAAGTCATTTGAATTGAAAGGCAACATACAGGACAATTCATTTATGGGGTATTAAGGATTGCTAACTGTAATGGGCAAGAGTTTTCATTTCTTGTCCAGCTCTGTATATTCTCAAATTATATTTTTGAAAATTAGCAATTTGATAGATTTATGATGTTTAAGCACACACAAATACACGTCTTCAAAGGGCTGTTGCTACAGTAAGAGAAAGGTGGTTTAAAAAGTTAGAATTCCTTTTCAATATATATATATATATATATTGCATGTGTTTAATGATACTGCATATTGTTTTCATTTACTGATTTTGGAGGTGCTTTAATATAGTTGTCTGAAGTATTGCAGTAGGTGCACAACACCCCTAAAGTTTTTTTTAATTTGTCCTTGTTAAGTACACGCTTCCTTAGCTATAAATCCATAATGCATTGATGTTTTTCTTTACAGCAATCTGTTAACTTTTTCTTTTCATGCATTCCATCATTACTCTAGTTTTTAAATGTACTCTTTCAGGAAAGAAGTGAATTTGTTGCCTGACTAGTGGAATTATAATGATCTCTCCTTTTTATTTATCAGTATTATCTTATACTGTGATTTTGTATAATTTGTGCATTAAAAATAAAACTTACCGTTATAATAATGGTTTGATTTTTATTAATATGTTAATTATGATGTATCTTATTTTTATATGATTTTTTTTTTCTCTGGAACCAAAGACCTGTAAGTATTACGAGATTTGTTTTAATTATTTTACTGGAAATCGGCATATGGTAATAGGTAACTAAGTTTTCAGTTAGTCACAAGTGTAGTTTTTTAAAGAAAGGGATTTTATATTCTTGCACAAGGTGTTTTGATATTTGCTTAAAACTTTCACGTGGCTATTGTTATAGTACATATTATCCAACAACTTTCATATGAAGTTTGTATGGAAGATCACGAATGTATTATTTTCATATGTTATTTCCTGTACATGATCTCTGAAGTATGAAATTTTTTAAGCAGCGTCCGATAACATATAATAAAAGTATAATTGGAGTATTACTTATAAAATTACTTTTTTTTCTGTTGTGGTGCACTGAAAACTATTCAGACAAAACTTATTATATCGCAACGAATCCTTGCCTGTAATGTGTTTATAGTAAGTTTTAGTGTTGGTAATTCTGAAAATGTTTCTTTCTGTTCAAAGTTCTGCATGATTATATGGTAAATATATATATATTTGTGTGTGAAGGTGTTTGTGCTCAGTGATATAATATTTAACCATATAAAATGGTGATAACATTTTTATTCAGGTGCTTTATTACTGTTAACTAACTGTACGTTCTCAAGTACAGGCTTTCTGCAATCAAATGCTTTTTAAACTTTTAACAGTATAAACTGTAGTGGCTTGAAATTGTTTATGCAATAAAAAAGGCTCCATCATATTCTAATGATGTACCCATTTTATTTTCAAGAATACACACACACACATGCTATTTTTCTAAAACAGACATACAGGAGTTGAGTACATTATATTAAAATGATTTTGATGCCTCACCACCTTATTACAGTACATCTTGCCAATAGCCCAACAGCATAGTTTCCATTTCAAAAGGCTCTGTCATGTCTAAAGCATTCACCTCCTTCCTGCTGCTTTCCATAATTCATCTAACATATGAAAATGAGTGTTTCCCAATGGCCATTTCAACAGTTCAATTGAACAGAAATCCATAGGCCGTCTGTATGGTAACTTGTGGTCTCCTACGTATAGAATACCCATTAAATTCTTTAGTTGCTTAAGTTATGCAATTATTGAACAAATATGTTGTGGAAACAACTTGGGTACACGTGACTTATGTCACTTTTCCAGATAGAGATCCTTCTCAATTATTTTGTGTACTGTTGCCTTCAATAGTTTCTGCTACTGACCTTTGTGTTTGTGAATTCTCACCTGTTACAATACTCTGCACTTTGTTTATCATAGCTGGGGTATGATTTATTGCAGGTCTCTTTCTGGATAGTCCTGCTTGCTCAAGCTGATCCATATTCTTTTGCTTTCTAATGTTATTAAGTATGAAGGATACGTTCATGGAAATTCTAATCCCTTCTCTTAACACATTGTTATGAGCTGAGTGTTTGAATATCTTATGTCAGAAAGAGTTATTACATATATTTTCCAAAAGTGATCAGTTTTCAGTGACAACACTAAGTATGAAACACCAAACAATGCTAAAATGTAGTTTTGATATGTTACCACTAAGACTTCTATACTGGTTGTATCACAATACTTACTGATTTGCATAATCAAAATCGTTTTCATATAATGAACTCAGCCCTCTGTATCTTAGGGTATTCATTAACAAGTAATGCATATATTAACTGTGCATTATACATTTAATTAGAAACTGTATGGAAAAAAGCTGAACTAGAAAAATCAATAATTTTCACTGAAAAATATGAAACAAAGCATTATAAATGTTCACAGTTTTATTTCATATCAGCCATACAGTGCACAGCAGAAAATATTCCAGCATATTACACATACATTGTCATCTTGACTAGAAATGTTAATTAAAAACAGAATAGTCAAAAAAGTTATTACTTTTAAAATGATTAATCTGAATTCTGTGTGAATTTTCCCAAGGCTTGGAGACTCCTAGTCAAAGAGGCCTAAAACATAAAAACACATATTTTAATATTCCAAAGATAATAAATATTGCAAGTTAGAACTGAAATTCTTGTGATATATAAATATAATTGTCGAAGTATGTTAACAGTTCAAAGGGTTGCTATACAAGATCCTTTAACACACTTTTAAACATTTATTTAAATTGAGGACACTAATGTGTTAATGCTTTATTCTTTGGGTCATGCCATGATATACTAACAATTATGTATCCGAGAAATTGTTTTTTTTTTTAGGAACAAAATCTGAGAAGCAGCATGTATACAATATCATAGAACTTTATGGTCTAACATAGAATATTTAAATGAACACAGAAAATTTGCTATTTTAAATTCCAAGGTTTTATAATGACCATAAGGATAATGCAAGTTATAGCTCACCGAGTGCCATTCAAACATCACAGAATATTCTATTAAAAAAGGTTCAAAGAAACCTTGAAATATTTACACATAAAACTTATTCTCTTTTTAAGTATGACTATGAAATCCATGCATTTTGAAAGTAATAAATCCCAAATTTAAAAGAATTATGTTACACCATTACCTCGATCAGAAGACGTCTTTAAAAGCTCTATAAGTTTTTATAATGGCTAGTTACTTTCAAGAAAAAAAATTGATCTGGTACCCTACTTTATAAGCACAACAGTGGAACCTCTATAATTTTAGTTTAAGAACTAAACTATAACTTCAGTCTTACTGTCAGTAGCTTTGACATGTAATCTGAGCTTTCTACCATTGTAAATTTACCAAGGTTGTATTTTATTTTTTACCAGTGACTTTGTTTAATGCACTCTGAAATCTGCCTTCACAAAAGTATGGGAACAAATATTTTGCTGACCGATCATGCAATTTCATCAAAATTAGTATCAAAACACCCTGAAAAAAATTTACACAATCTTTATTTGAAGGCTGATGTTCGTTAAAAGTATTTACTGTAAATTTTACATTGACCTACAAGTTATCTCAAAACATAATTAACTTACCAAATCCCATGTCTTCATCAGATTCTTCGGATTCTTCTTTTACCTCCTCTTTCTTAGCTTCTGAAATTTATAATAGATGTTCATGCATAAATAAGATTTTTAAGTTTTTTTTTAAATGCATTCTTAACTTCCATATATCCTTACCCAACTCTCCTCATATTTTAAAGCATTTTATAACAAAACATTCTTTTACGTTACAGATGATGTGTAGTGTCAGATATACATGACTTTTTAAGTTTAATAGGAGTGTTATGATTTAGATGGTCTTAACTATAGCATGAACGTTAAATTTTGTTATTTTTACAAGCAACAGTTTATCACAGGTTCGTTTATGTTTGTTTGTTTGTTTTGAATTTCACGCAAAGCTACACGAGGGCTATCTGCGCTAGCCGTCCCTAATTCAGCATTGTAAGACTAGAGGGAAGGCAGCTAGTCATCACCACCCACCGCCAACTCTTGGGCTACTCTTTTACCAACCAATAGTGGGATTGACCGTCACATTATAATGCCCCCACGGCTGAAAGGGCGAGCATATTTGGTGGGATGGGGATGCAAACCCGCGACCCGCAGATTGCGAGTCGAGTGTCCTAACCACCTGGCCATGTTTGTTTATGTAACTATGCAAATCATACGTTGTGTAGTTCAGTTGTTGTGAATTGGTCACTTGTATTATTGCATCATGTTACTAGAAACTTCTAAGTTTATCTCATTTTAATTGCATTATTTTTCTGGTTAATCTATAGGATATTCCAAAAGTCAGTTGAAGAAAGTAACATTAGTTTAGTTACTTCTTTACAAGTTTTTTTACATAATGGCACTGAATATTGATTTATATGTGGAAATGATCTGGATTGAATGTCTTCAGTAAATATACATTTTGGGATGTTGTATAAATGTGTGTATACATTTAGCCTACTTTTGAAATGGTGTATAGAATTTTTTTTTTTATTTCTTTTCTAAATCACAATTTTCTTTTGTTAAATGATGAAATTTTATCTAAACATTACATTCAAAACACAGAAAATACTAATCGAAATAAAACAAACTGAATTTTAAAATAAAATCATGTTCTATACATAAATATAGACACTTATTAGCATCTTGGACATCTTTATAATAAACCACCCCCCTTCCCTCCATCAGGAGATACACAATCCCCCCCCCCCCCCCCCGTTTTCGAGAAATCTCTGCAATATACTAACCTTCTTTAGGAGCTTCTTCAGTTACAGCTGCTGCTGCACTAGTTACGGTACCACCTCCCCCGACTGCAGACCCCACATTGGTGATCAACTGCTTTAAATCTATCCCTTCAAGGGCTTTGGCAAATAAACCTTAGTGCAGAAAAACAAAACACTACATTTGACGATTTTGGTAAATAAATTATTGAATGTAAAAGTAAAAAACAAAATGTAAATTTTATGAACTTAAACCTGCCAATTTCTTTTATATAGTGGATCAAAAATTTAAAAATCTTTGTAAACGAAAGTCATGAAATTTTACTAAACAGAATAACAACAACAAAAAAAAACACCATAACAACAAAAAAAGAGTTTAACTTACCACATTTTTGACAATTAGACACAAATCAAAAACATTACAGATATATGTACAGTAAACAACTTAAACTTCTCATATGTTTCAGCAAATAAATTTTAACAAACATCTCACTTCTATGGCATTAAACACAAAACTATTATACTTATTCATAAGGTTACATTTTCAGAACTTTAGTGTGTTCCACTTCTTGCTATCACTTACATGTTTCTTTCCACCTGCAGTTAGCAACCATATAAAGTGACACTAACAAAACAAACATCAGTCAATGGAAAAGAACTTAACAGCTGAAGAGAATACATTTTCTTACATGTAAAATAATGACACATACACCTGACTGGGATCTACTCAGAAGTATCAGCTGCACTGCAATTAAATATGAGACTTAAAACTGCATATTTTCTAACATAGTGCTGCCAACATTTTAATGAAATTAATACAGAAATTTACAGACCAAAAACTTGTTACTACTTTAAGTTTTATTATAAATTTCTCACTGTATTGAGTTATTTGTTCTCATACAGTATACTAATATTCAATCTAGTGATAGCAGCAATTCAATTCTTCCTGTTCAAAAAAACATTTCTAAGAATAACTGATAAAATTGTATCTAGTTTACAATACTGCCTAAAGCAAAGAAGGATCTAAAGAAAATACTACCTATTATAGATTAACTATAGCATTTATATGATTTGCCCACTTGAAAGTCTCTCTCGGAGGTGTGTAGTCAAATATGAAATCTGATGCCCAAATTATTGAATTATACTTTATTATGCACATAATGTTATCAAATTTTGGCAGTGATATGCACATGCATTTATTTTATTCACTATTCATGTAACCTGAAGCCAATACATAACACATACATATATATATATATATATATATATATATATATAATCTTACCTGGCCAGTATGGCTCAACTGACACATTTGCAGCTTTCAAAATTGTCTGTATTTTTTCTGCCTAAGAATAAAAAAATATATACAAATTTTTATCCAAAACACTGATATTTATCACATATCTCCCAATCTTGAACGTCTGTGATTTTTTATTAATTCTTTGTATGAATAAAACATTTCTGTTTAAAATTTCTGCAACTACTATATCATATGGTCTTTTTTTTTCAACAGTAAAAACATATCAAATAGTGATCAAAAATTCCTTATATTCTGTCAAATTTATTATAATTTTACATAGAATACAGTATTGTTGTATAAAAATTATACACTTTTCAAGTTTGCTTATTTATGCTGTCCATTACTTGCATGAACACACTTTAATGATGTGCAGTAATATCTTTTATGTTTGTTCAAGACATTAATATGGTTAATGTTGATTTTGAGAAAAAACTGTGTCTAGAATGATCTTTGTAAGCATGTATGCAAATTTTAGATATTAAGAATGAAAACCTAACTATTTGTTGTGCTGTACATATATTAATTCCTTAGTGGAACATTTTAACAAAATGATGTCTTAATTCATTTCTAATCAATCAATGATATAAAAGTCAAGAAAAATTTCAATGTAACAGGTACGGTTGAACATTACAGAAGACTTGATTAGTTAAATATATCTTGACAGTCACAAAAAATTTTGTTGTGTGTACCTTGTTTATGCTCCTAAACTTAAGCATGTATAATTATCTATAGATGTTACTTGTAAAAGAAAAAAAAACCAAAAAAACAGTAACTTGCATTTATTAATTTTTTACTTTTTATTTAGTCATATTTATTGTAGGCAGGAATGGGAAATGACACTGTGTTCCAAATATTATTAGACTGGTAATATTTGGGATGAAATGTTACACCTATTCCTACGGTCACTTAAGCCTTACTTTCACTTTTTAACATGCTACACAAATTTTAAGAATAAATAAACCGGTCTAAAAGAAGTGATGGGTGAGTAAGTTTATATTGAAACTTTCGTATTGTTTTAGCTTATTAGTACAAATATTCATCATAAGTTTCTTAAACTTACATACTATTACACTGAATAACTGACTGTCAAAATCAAACCAACTTAAATACAGCCCTTCACATTCATTTACCTATCCAACTAAAGTTAACCAATTCAAAATGCACTACTACAACTGAAAAATTCCTCTTGCCAAAAACATTTATCTTTTTGAGTGTGGAAAGCTTAAGCCTATTACCTAAGCCTATTCAAACCTTTTCATTTCACTGTTCAAGTAAAAGAGGTATATACATAATATATGGACAACAAGGGACCATCTGGTTCTTCAATGTGTCTCTTATGTAAATCATCATGTGACAACCCTCCACCAATGAGAGTACTACACACTCTCATTACGCATGTGACTCCCCCTATTCCATTCTACCAGACTATCACATCGACTTTGGTCGATAATGGAAGCACCAGTTTTCAGTGTGAAGGAAGGGTGGGAAGTGTGAGGGAGGTAAGTACCTGTCGGAAATACATTTTCAGTGTATGAAAATATAACTTCTGATATGTTGTACTACCTCCTCTCACATAATTATCTAGAATCCCACATTGAATAGGTGGAGGGAACGGTGCTAGAGAAGAAAAAAGCATCCTTTGAAAGTGTTCAAAGGACACACCTTGAGACTAGTCAGATTCAAAGATCTAATGTGGGAGACTGTACCATGTCTGAACCAGGTATACTCTTTGTCCATCTGAGAAAGGTGTGGTATATATGGGCAGAAAAACAAAGGAGCACATCCAAATGTGTGAGAAAAAACAATGGAAGTGCCCCCAGGAGTAGAGTGGCTAGGGCATGACGAACTGCACTCGGCAATTCAACTACATCTAAAACCCATGCCACTTGGAACCAACATCCTTATGGGGGTAGGATGAGGATCAAAACATCTTCACCTCAATTTCAAGAGACCAGAGTGGATCTCAAACCCCTTTTGACTCCAGAACAGGGCACATGTTAAGAATATAGAGAGATATATTGATCCAGGAACCCGGGATCCAGTATCTAAAATATGTCAAGTATAGAGAAATCAGCTCCCTCAACAGTAAAACTGACTGGAACCAATCCAGACAGAATATCATCCTCGGAATCAGATACATTGAGGGAGAGCAGAGGGGAAAGAACCATCCTAAGTACCTCCGCTGTGCCCCACAACACACATGGAGTATGACTGAGGGAGGAAGATAGACATCAGTAATACATGTGTGAGGACTTGTGTTGATTGGTTCTACTCTAAATCCAAAACCCAGCCACCTGTAGGATAAGAGATCTAATCTAAGGGGTGCCCTGCAATTTGATGTCTCACTTCTTTCATTTTCATATGCTTTATAGTAGAGGATATCACATCATCTACAACAGCAGAACACCACTGCCCTATTCTGCACTGAATGGTATTTCTGTATTGATATGGTATTGCATTAAACCATTCAGGAGGATGCCTCCACAATCCACCACCCTAGTGGCTTGGAAATGGAAAGTAGTAAGGACTCCCAAACTCCACTAGAAAAAAATGGGAGTGAAACACGGTGAAGAGTCCAGAGGACCATCAACACCTGAGACAGTGCAATGGGTGACCATGAAACCCTATTTTTTAAAAGCAGACCATACCGATTTATTCAATACAAGGCATGGCAGGGATAGGCAGTTGTCCCCTTCTGCTTTACCCATGTAGGCCATGGGTGGTACGGTCCGGGACAGGCATATTTATGAAGCAATTCCATCACAAGGATAACTTTGAAGCAATTTTGTCCTACACCAAATCTCAACAGTGTGCATTGCGTGGCCATGGTGCATAATAAGCAAGTCGACATGGCTGAACAGTGTGGATTTTAAAGGTTAAAGAATACCCGGTCAGGCATCACTTGCAACAGAGTGGGATCCGGTAAGAAAAAGAGGGACCTAACCCTGAAAACGAAGAGGTATGTATAAGAAAAGGTAACCTACCTAGTCACAATCTCATGACAGAGTGAAGGACGGCAACAGGTGAATGAGGTGCCCCGACAAGAAAGAAACAGCTACCCAAAGCAGAGAATGGGAGAAGAACATATGAGATGTAGTCTCAGTGCTTGAAAGATGAAGTACATCCAACTAACGGCAAGGTAAACATGCAGGGAAAAAGGGAGGTGCAGATTAGGAGTGAAGACACCAGGGAGTGAAGATGGGTACAAGGAAGAAAAGGCCAATCAAATCACAATCTAAACCCAATGGGCGAGGGTGGAAGGGAAATATAACAAAGTGGAGTAAAGGGAGGAAACTTATCAAAAAAATAACTTAGATAGGCCTAGTAAATTCTGCAGTAGAGGCCTGGAATGCACTCCATGAGAAGGTGGAGGAAAAACTGACAAATATAGGTCGTCTCAAAAATGGGTTCAGCCATTATAGGAGGAAGACGAGCAATATTGGAAGCAGGTAGGGTGGGCCCTGGCCCAGGTGGCCCTCACATACAAAATTAATGGTAAGAAACTGTGTAGTGAAATAAACAGATAGATGTGATATTCTGTGTTGAAGAAAAGATAAATAACCTAAATATTGATGACCCCGTAAAAAGAACCATAGGGAAACTGAAATTAACATACACTAATTAGGCCTAATTAAACAAGATATTTAATGTAACTAAGGATTAATGTGGACGTAGAACTATGGTAAACTGAAAATAAACATTTAAAAATTGAATAATACATAAAAGATATCATTAAGCCCTAAAAGAAATACTTAACCGAACAATAAGTATGTACAATATTAAGATAAGTTTTATGTGGATCCTGGCTCAAGAGTTCCACACAAACCCAAATAACAACAGCTAATAATATTAACAATAAAAGTATAATGTTTTGTCTTTCCAAAGTCTGCAAACAGTATTGCAAGTGCACAGGCCCCCCAAAACTGGGGTGAGGCCCAAAGAAAGTTAGTTCACAGGACAATCAATCTCCCAGTGAAGTAAAGCTGAAAATCTTCTATTTGTTTAGTAATAACTAAACAAGTTCCATAAATGGGTAGAAATATAAAATAATTCCACTTCAGAATAACTCAACAAGTTACAAATATCACTATTGTATAGTAAAAGAGTAATCTTCTTGAGAGAAATTATTACACAGATATGGAAAAATATTAAAATAAAACACTTGAACAGAGTATAAACTAAACATTAGAACACGAGTACTGCCAAATGAGAAGTGATAGTCTGATAGAATTGAATAGAGGAAGTCACATGCGTAATGAGTGTGTGGCACTCTCATTGATGGAGTGTTGTCACATGATGATTTGCATGAGAAACATACTGGAATCAGTCATTTCCAATGGAGGGGAGGCAGAAAGCTTGTGGCATGCATAATTTTTTTTTGCATATAGAGGGCAGCACTGAATGAGAATAACTGTTTATGTGAGCTGAGGTAATGTACCGTTTCAGAAAAAACCTTGCCCTGAGCATCTTTAAAGGGCTAAATCCCCATTCTAACATTTTCTTATCATTAGTTTTAACATTTATCAACCAGCTTTTTCTTATTACCTGTTTGAGTTTCCTAATTTCTTTTCTTAAGCAAGTCCTTAGCCTTCCTACAGTTATGTAAATCTTTCAACCTATCTGTCAATTTATGTTTCTTAAACTTATGGAATTTATTCCTGATTTCCTTCTTCATCTTTAATAAACCAATTATGTTTGATTTTCCCTGTTACCCTCTTTGTATTTTTGAGGAGTAAACTGAACTTGAATTAAAAACATAAAAATATTTTTAAATCTGTTCCTCATCATCTTTTAACTAATTATCCCAATTCACTAATGATGAATCTTGGCTCATGGCCTAAAAATTGATTTCCCGAAAATTAGGAAATCAATATGCATTTTTGAAACTCAAAACTAAGTATGTTATTAATTATGAGTTCCATCTTTATTAATGGCAAAAAAAAAAGTTCAGAAATTGTGAATATTCTGGTGAATGAATAAACTGCACCATGAGGCAATCATAACTTCATGCAAAAACATTTTAGTTGACAAAACTACTGCTGAACAAAGTCAGACTGAAACTTAATGAAAGAATGTTGTAAAACTGACCATGTGAACATGAAGACAAGGAAGCAAATGCACTTTCCATGAAAAGTTGAGTTGCTGTAACATCATAAGAGGAAATTTAATGGAAGGAAGACGATTCTCCTTGGAAAGTCTCAAAGACACAAATTACTATGACATCATATTGGAAGAATAATGATTCTTCGTTGACAAGACTAAGGTAAAGATTACACAGGCAATGCTTGAGAGGGCCCCACACTAAGTACCAATGTGATGATCTTGCAACTAGGTCAGTGTTTCTCAACCAGGGTGCTATAACACGTAAAGGTGCTGTGAGATTTTACCAAATATTATCTCTATGACCCCCCCCCCCTTGCCTATGCCACTATTAACTAGGCTACAAAATGTTAAGGGTGCTGTGGAAATTGTAGACTATGTGTAGGGGTGTCTTGAGCAAAAATAAAAGTTTATAAACACTGAACTAGGCCATCAACATTAGCCTTGACTAGTTCAATAGACACAATGAGAATTGTTTATTAACACAAAGATGAGTTACACAAGACAATCCATAAACACTGGCCAAGTGACATTTACATGCTCAATGGCAAATCCAACAGACACCGGTAGATTGCCACCTATATGATATTGCCTGTATAAAAAGTACTAATGAAAAACTACTAACAGAATACCTACTAATGAAAAATTTACTTAAAAAACTCAGCAGTTAAGTATTTATATACCACAGCTCTGTACACATTGGTTTCACATGTTTACAATAAGTATCACAACTGTACGTCACAAATCAATCAATAATAAATGCCTTGTATATCCAATATCATGTGACTGTTGAGTTACATCACATACTATAGTTCAGAGCCAGACAAGATTACTGCAAACATAAGTAAGAACTTAATAGTTGTAATTATTACTATAAATTAAGTGTAATGTAACAAGTATGTAATGATTATGTGCCAACAGATTTCTGCAACTAGAAGAAGAAATAATGCTAACTTAATTACTCACACTTTATATATCTCAAAAGAGAAATTCAGTTTCCACATTTTGGCCAAGTCACCAAGATCATGAAGGTGTTTTTTAAAAAAGGGTTTTCAACAGAACCAACTCTTCCAAATATATGAGTACCATCTAAAAATTGTGCAAGTATCATTGGCAGAATAATTATTAAAATTCTTGATGGTTTTATATATATATAACAGTTATTAGAGCATATTCTTAGAAGATCCCAATCACCACATATTATCTCGATTTGAAATATGCCCTTAGGAATTCATAACAGCTTTTTGCTTTCTATCATTATGTGAATTTTCTATCCACTTCTTAATTTTACTGCAAATGCCAATGCATACTGTTTACTAGTTCTTCCTATGCGAGGCATCGTATCAAACTTTCTGAATATGAAAAATATAAATTAAAGTTTCATTGTTCAATACAATTAAAGCCCATTCAAAAAACTTCAACAATTTAATAATACGAGAAAATCCTTTTCCTTCTATACTTAAAATCAATGATTAAATGAGAAATTCCCAAATACCTACTTAAATGACTTTTGATAACATATTTTATACAATGCTAGCAAGAGAAGGTACACAAATAGGCCAAGATTTTCCTAGATCCACAGTCTATTTGTTTTAAGATAGTGGTTACATCTACAATATTAAAACCATCAAGATCTTTAGAAAATAATATTGGTTTTACTTCTTATACACAAGAAAAAATTGTTTAGAACCTCAGCCATATTAAACAGTCTCAGTAAAATATTATTGAGCATTATGAGATGCCAGATAACTTAATCAATTGACCCAAAATTGGGGATTCCCACAATAACAAATGTGATTCTTTTGGTAGACTATTACTGGTTTCATTACAGGTACTTTTTTTGTTGTTCAGGTCCACATAAGACTACTTAAATAAAAACTGCAAAGGTAATAAAAGAAGGCACAAACTCTTAGTTATATGTTTGGACCCTCAATCATGCATGTGTTGTATATTACATTCATGTATTTAGTTATTATTTAGAATACACACAAATATAACTTTTACTGATTCCTAGACTCACAGGAGTGATAAAAATATTCAAAATGGTAAATGTACTTAACAACTTACATTTTTGGATTTTGTAATAAAGAAAATAACGTTTCATTTCTGAGAAAGTACTTAAATACTTAATTTTCAATTACAAAGATAATAAAAAACACTTCTGTTCCTTAATCTTAAGATACTCAAGTTAAATTGGATAAAATATTTAAAGCATGTGCCACAGAGGTTTTTGGTATTCCTTTGAAACAATACAAAATAATTGTCTTTAATTTTAAAAATAATACAAATATTTAAATTAATGATTTTGCCCACTTAAAAATAATCTGTGTTGACTGTAACTTGTACGAATAATCTCATGGTCTTTATAAGCAATGCAGAATTTTCACTCTTTCTATTTTACAAACGCTTACTCAAGTTAATGTTACTGTTGATAGTGTTATTGTTACTGTTTTAAAAATTTACAATATTATGCTTATATATATATATATATATAACTCCTTAATAAAATAGTTGTATAACTTTTTTTTTCTAAGCTCTAATTCTAAATATCTCTAATTAACTCCTGTGTTCTAAGATAATGTTACTCAACAAAACTTAAAAATAAATTCAAAAGTTAAAAAATCAAATACTTGAAATACAAAAATATGCGTTCGTAAAAACACATCAACCTTACTGTAACAGCTACATCATCATCATGAAGTATTAAAGCACTGTAAACGCATGCAAGCTCGTCTTCGCTGGCCATTGTAAATTCTTTGAACTTCAGTAAAATTTGATGATGTAGTTTCGTACGTTATCGCAATATCTGATATCAACCTAGACTATGTCGTCTTCCTCCCTCTTTAGTTTAGCGACATCTACGAGTATTATTCTTAATATATGCTCTGTTAGGGAACACTTTCAAATTTACAAATATATTACTACATTATTTTGATCCAAAATAAAGCTAATGAAGTTCCAGAATATCCAAATATTATAGTACTTGAAAATATCGTACACTTTAGTGCTAACGCTAATATTTATTTGGTTGCCCACTGCATAACAGACAGTGAAAAACAATAAGAGACGCTGAAACAGACCTGGTTTACTGGGTTTTATACAAGTAGTTATTCGACTATCTTGCATTCTTATCTCAGTATAATGATATTTCTGATAAAAGAAATACATTATAATGAGCTATATTAAACGTAAAGGGCCTCAACACATCCATATTAACCAAATAAAATGATACGTGTGGACTACACAATAGTACTATTAGTAGCAGAAGAAAGCACCAAGCCATCTGCTTTAGTGTTTGAAGTACGGGAAAGTATAGTTTCGAAAAAGGTAAATTTAAGTCAACATTAATAAGTGTAATAAAGTTGTCGAAAATGAAGATTTGATAAATATGTAATTATTAGTTGATTATATTTTACAGAGACATCTACTATTCAGGAATACATATTAATATTTTAGCTTTGCACGATTCGACACAGTTTTATTAACGTATATATATTATATAGATACACATAAGTGCTGTCACTATATATATATATATAATATGCTACTCATCAAATTATAGAAAAGCCTTAATTGTTATTATTAAATTTTGTGTATTATAGGAATTCATTTCATGATTGAGAATTTTTGTTTCTGTAATAGCAAAATTGTAATAATTATTTTTCCTTCGTAATTTAACATATGAGTGATAATGAACTGGCTATTGAAAAGCCACCGAAATGGTACTCGATAGATCATGCATGAGTAAATATTTGGAATACCAGTATGTACGTCTTATTGTGTAGACTTAAAAAATATGCACGACATTATAACTTCGGGGAGAAAAATTTTTTACGTGTTTTCAGTACAGGAACTTAACATTCCCAAAGAAGTTGGTAGACTAAATATTTTAATAATACTGTTATTACTAATTAGGGCCTGACATGACCTGATGGTTAGGTCATTCGACTCGCAACCTGCAGATTACGGGTTCGAATCCTTGCCCAGCCTCGCTCTTTCACTCATGAAGGCATTATAATGTGAAGATCAATCTCAGTATTCATTAGCAATAGCGTAACCAAGGAGTTAGTAGTTGGTGGTCTTAACTAACTGCTCTCCTTCTAATTTTTCACTGCTATGTGTACTCATCTCTGGTGAGACAATTACATCCTTCGCTCTAGTAAGATCTTTCCAGAGAGAAAACTATTAAAGTGGAAAGGTCACGCTGCAACTCCAAAAACTACTCCAGAAGTGATAATCCAAGTCCATCTTCCAGTGTAACCGTACTGGTTGTAGAACCACCAAATATGAGGATAACTTTCACTATTTTCAACGAGGCATCTACTTCACGAGTGAGTAACACTTTCTTACACGGCTCTGCATGCGAGGATAGAGGAGTTGGAGTTCCCGACTAAGTCCACAACAGAGCTAAGAAGCATTTCTCGCCGAAGCAAATAGAAAGAAACTGAATCAAAATTGGAGATGTTATGTCTCCGACATTTCTTAATGGACTGCCTTGAAATTTGCTATTCGAAATAAGAGTTCAGTAGAGTATATCAACTGAAAATATGTGATAGTTTGGCTTACCACAGTCCGAAATACAGAAGGTGGAAAATAGCTAAGCTATCACTCCTGTTAATAACACACATTGTATCCTGCAGCAGGTTGTTTTGGCCGTACGACCCACTACCGTGTGTCTCGATATGTAGAGTTTTGAAGGTTAATTCACATGTTCGTAATGTGGATATATCTATAGTGACCTGTTGCATATATGTATATGTTTCGATGTGTATTTAGACTTTACTTTTACTATACATGTTTTAATTTCCCGTGAAAAAGAAAAGTTTTTATATTATTTACTGGACTAACATTATTGTTAGCTATCTCCTCATAAGGCAGATAGGTATCTTCAAGTTAAGGAGTTACTTTCTTGCGGATTTTAATATGACTATTATAAGGTTCATTGCTTTAAAGGGTTTATTTCTGCTATTATTTTATTTTTTATATTTTTTAGTAAGGATAAAAGGTGTGATTTTAGTTTTAATGTTTGAAGGGTTCTTTTCTTGTGCATTTGTGTTAGTTCCCCTCCTAAAGGTATAGGCATTTCTTTGTTAAAGAACCTTGTTTTTGTTTGATGTATTTTACTTATTTCGTTTTATTGTTAACTGTTATTTTCGTGAGTTTTCTTTGTTAAAGGGTATTTTTGTTTGTAGCGCTAGTACTATTGTTCGTTATCCCCTCCTAAAAGAGGATATGCACCTCTTTGTTAAAGGGTACATATAATTCATTTTTAATATGTCTCATTTTTAAAAATTTAAGAATGAATGTATTTCCCCCAGTAATACATTATTCTCTGAACTAAATGGTGAAATCCACCAAAATAAAGTATTTTGGTTATGATTTATATTAAAACAGCAACAATTTCTGTCAAAGTGACGTGTTTCCTTACTAGATGACGCTACCATAGGTACTGTTTCTTTTCTCGTTTCTTTGTTGTTCAGCACAAAGCTACATCATGTGCTATCAGTGCTGTGCTGACCACGGGTATCGAATACGGTTTTTAGCCCAGAGACTTACCGCTGAACTACTGAAAGGCTTCTTTTCTATCAATAGTCTGTGTAGTTTGGTAGCAGTACCGTATACAGAACGTGATGGACGGTGTAATCCTAAGTTAAAAATGCAAGCCTTTGCTATTTTATAATCAAAAGTAAAATGACAATAAATTGAATTAAACATCAGTATGCATTTTATATATCATTAAGTTACAGCACCCAACTCCAAATCTTTGGCTATTTTAATCGAGTAGTAGGGTTTGATCGTTGCTCTTATGCGGCAAAGGGACGCGAACCTTGGATTCACAGTCGGAACATTAAGCACTAAGTCACGCTCTGCCTGTCTTGTATGATTTTGTATCTACAGTAACAACAAAATGGCTAGCACAATTCATACAATTGTCATGTGGTGACTATTTTCACTAAATTTAGACTTACCATGTTAAGGTATAAAAATTTCGTTTTAAGCTTACCAAGAGCAGCTAAGTAAAAATAGAAAAGTTACATAATGAGAAGTTGCGACAAAAGCTTGTGTTTAATGATGAATAAACATTCGATATGTTTCCCCAAACAGATTTAATAAGTAGATACTTTGTAAGTTCACAAGTGTGCAGAAACTAGCTATAGCAGGATCCAAAAATAGAAAACTTAACACTTATCTGCTACTATACAACTAACTGATTAATTAAGTATGATATTAAGTATACAACTGAAGTAAAAGTATAAATAAACACTTTTATTTGAAACCGTTTGATAGCAGCTTATTAAAAAGGATTCCGAGACAAATTTGGCAATATTTGACAACTGAAAAAAGTAATACATTTCTCCAAACTGTCCGCGATATATTAGATTCGGAAGATTGTAGGCATAGAATGTGGAATGTAGAATGATATATATTTATATACTGTATTGGTAAAATAGTTTCCAAATTTAATATAAGTTTCTAAATACTGAGCAGAATTAAATAGGAGTTCTGAAGTTTCTTCTACCTCAAATATCAAAGGGTAATTTTTTGAATAGCTTGAGTAATAGTATGATTATTTATAGTGATAAGATTACCTATATATACATATATATATATATATAAACTAGCCATCCTTACCCGGCGTTGCCTGGGTATTACCTGATGTTTAGTTATCTTTAAACAAAAAGGATCAAAATTTCGCTTTTCGTGTAACAATGCAGTTCAAATGCATAAAGGTACTAATACTGAAAATAAAGATAATACTGTTTCCAAGCATTCTATGAATATGAAATTAGTACGAACAAACATTTAAATATAATCATTTCCGCCAATAATATGGATTCTAACGCTTTTTTGCGTGGTGTATTTTGAAAAATATAAAACAATATCAGTTTTGTAACAACAGGGTTTTAAAAACGTTCTACAGAGTAAAACCTAAGCTCTTGATCACTCTTGATTTAATTAGTATAATCGATCACTCTCTCAGCTAGCCAAACTACTCAACTAACTTTGTGATTTAAAATCAAAGACAATATTTAGAAACTTACAAAAGCACAGCATCTATGTGGTTTTCATGTTAAATTAAACCTTTAATTTTACTATGTATTATTTGAAGTATGAAAAATTCCTTTACTTTCTGTACATAACATCTATAATTGTATTTTCCTTATGTTTATTATATCTAAGCAATCGATTTGTATTCTATATTCATCATAATTCTATGTATTTAATAACTTTAATACCAGATGTCAGTTATTGTTACGATTGTTGCCTAGATATCTATTTTAAAACGGAGTTGCACAGTTAACGAAGTTTTATCGCTCAATCCATTGAAGGCTCAATGAAGGCCCGGTAAGAGGGCCGAAAGTACGCAAATAAAAGTATTTTAACGTAGATAGAAGTTCGTGTACAATTCTACACATTAATTTACCTACGTTATGAGTTATAAGTCTTAAACAAGATTTATTAAGGACTAGTTATGCATGATGGAAAATATCGCTTATCTTTTGTGATGCTCTTCCTGAGTAAGCGTTTCCCCTCCTCTCACTTTCTGGTGAAACTCACAGCTGCACTGCTCGTTCAGAAATGTTTTTTTATGACTGAAGAAAGCTTTGCAACATTTGTATCGCCTTCATTTTTTAATATTTTTAAATAAAAGTCATCACTACCCGTGCAGCGAAAAAAACAAATTCGACCTTATTTCTAGTTTGTTTTTTGTTGCACGGATAATAACGACTGTTATTAAAAAAATAATTTTCTATCAATTTGAAAATCAGAAATACAAACGAACAGATATTTAAATATAATCATTTCCACCAATAATATGAATTCTAACACATTTATACTAGTTTTTTTGTTTTAACCTGTTGTCACAAAACTGTTATTATTATTAAAATACTTATATCTTAACAATTTGTTGTACCAAGCGACAGATGGCAGCATATACTTCTCTCTTTTTTTTAATGGCTTAAGGACGAAAGAATAAATTTATAGGACAAAAAAAACTGGTCAAAATTCTATTGAAAAAAAATAATATTCACGTGCACACCCTCAAAATTCCCTTAGTATACGTGAAAAGTCTCAGGTTTTTATGTTCTTTCCTCGTAGAGCTATGGCGCTGACTGACTGACACACACACACACTTAGGATCTTTTATTGGTATGGATATGTGTTTATGTTGAATAGATGTC